CCCCGAGACATCTATGGGAAGTGCATCGATCGCCTGAAGTTGCATTCGAGCAAACTCATGAATCAATGAACTCTGCTGCGTAATGACGTACGTCAAGTCTCCCGCCACCTTTCGGCTTAGGGCATCTGCGACGACGTTCGCCTTTCCCGGATGGTACTGGATAGAACAATCATAATCCTTGACCAGTTAGAGCCAACGACGCTGCCTCATATTAAGCTCCTTTTGCGTGAAGATGTATTGTAGGCTCTTATGGTCTGTGAATATCTCGCAGCGTCCGCCGTAAAGATAGTGTCGCCAGATCTTCAGGGCGTGAACGACTGCGGCTAACTCCAAGTCGTGCGTAGGATAGTTCTGCTCATGAGGTTTAAGCTGGCGTGAAGCATACGCAACGACCCGTCCGTCCTGCATCAGGACACATCCCAAGCCCTGCCTCGAAGCATCGCTGAAGATAGTGAAACTCCGAGAAGGATCGGGGATAGTCAACACCGGTGCTGTAGTTAGTCTCCTCTTTAGCTCCTGAAAGCTCGCCTCACATCTATCAGTCCATTCGAACTTCACAGACTTCCTCGTCAGCTGGGATAGGGGGAGGGCGATCTTGGAGAAGCCCTCGATAAACCTGCGATAGTAACCAGCTAATCCGAGAAAACTGCGAACCTCGGACGGACTCCTCGGTGTCGACCAGTTCTGCACGGCTGAAACTTTAGAAGGATCCACCTCGATGCCTGCCTGGGTAATCACATGACCCAGAAAAGATACTCGCTGAAGCCAGAACTCGCATTTGGAGAATTTGGCGTACAACTCTCTCGTCTGAGGGTTTCGAGAACCACCCTTAGATGCTCCTCATGCTCCTTCTGACTCTTCGAGTAGATAAGGATATCGTCAACAAACTCGCGAACGATTGGAACATCCTGAGGTGTCCGCGCTTTCTGAGAATCCTCAACAAGGCTTACCAGGTAACCCTGGCAGTTGCCTCGTCGCAATAGCTTAGTGGCTTTTGCCATCGAAGCAACATGAGGCA